CTTTATAGAGTATTGATTGACTGATAATAGCTCTGCAAATGTATTTTATAAAGATAATAATAATATAATCTTTGGTTATATTTTTAGATCTGATATATGCAACTGGCAATTGCTTGTATAGCTCTGTTTCCTAAGCATTGACAGGTACCAATGACCTAATTTGACCTTGATAGTTTAATGTTTACAGTGCAAGTGTGAAAGGTCTATTTCGGCACTTTTTATACAGTAGAACACTAAAAGGCTATATGCGAAGCACTATGGTTGAAGACTACTTAAATTAAATGACTTGGCTTGGTCATGGTGCAAGTTCATCAGGAAATTATTCCTAACATAGTACTGTAGGAAACATTATTGATAAATTTTCTGGAACATGTGGTTAAAGTTAAATATCTCAGCTTGCAAAAAGACCACTCTCGCCTCCAATAGCAATTAATAACCTCACTCTTGTACACAACACTGACAGAAAAAACTTCCTGGGGTTTGGTTCTTCATCATCAACCAAACTTAGCCTTTCAAGATCACCACCTTCCCAAATCCCCCCCCCCCCAAACATTATTCAGGCTTTGTAGACAAAAGCTGATGCCAAATATCGGGTCTGATCTCATTGGCTTGAGACAGGTCCATTGCATCTTGAACCAGTTAAATTTTTCAACAGACCAGGGCTTGAAATAACAACTGATCACCAATCAATAATAGTCAGGAAACTGCTTATGATCGGCGGAAAAGCATGGTTTGCAACCTGAAAAAGCAGGGAAAGTCATGACTGCCGATCACCATGATCGGGAACTTTGGGAACATTATTTCAGGCCCTGACAGACAAACTCCATGTTGATAGTATGTGACTGTCTAGTGAGTGTATAATACAGTATGTATAAGCGTAGTATAGGAATAATACAATACTGTGTTAAAAACCTTGCCAATTTAATATTTCAGATAACTAGATAAGTAAAGTAATAGTCATTTGTAATGAAATATTTTGTATTTGAATCGACTGTGATTAAAATATGTTTAAAATGCCAGGTAAAATAAACTTGTTTTCAATAAAAGTTGGCTTCCACTGAAGCTACAGCTTTGAGGCACCATTTCACTTGTGATATTATACATTTTCATAGCTGGACAGATATATAACAAGATGATGAATTTAATTAGATTAGACATAGCTAGGTTAGTAATAGGACTGGGGAAGGGGCTAAAGGGAAAAACCAGGCAATTTCACATCCATGAAATGTCCCGTATTGTCATCCATTTTTAACCAAGGTCCTTTTGCTGCGGTGAAAGGTGTGAGGTGGGCTAATTATGGCACCTTAAAACCAGATTGCTCTTTTTAGGTGGTATTCATTGTTCATTTTATTGTCACCCATTTCTAAGTTCTAGCCAAACTCCTTTTGCTCTTGCAAAAGGTGTGAGGCAAGCAATCTGGTTTTAAGGAGCCAGAAACCTGTGCTTGTGTTCAGCTTTTTCAAGAAGCTGTCCTTGTTGGATCACGGTTTACTATTTTTGGTAAACGTGTTTCCTATAGGCATGCTGATGAACCAAGGTATACACTGTAGGCGAAACAGTCCATATATTAATATATCATATGCTGAACATTGGCAGGTACGAAAATTATGTCATTTACGCATTTGTAGTTTGATAAAACAAAATATCTATACTTCCACAAAAATTGGACAATCATCCTGACATCAAATGACGTCATGTCAAATGACGTCATCACGTTTTGCGTCATCGATGACGTCATAAAATTTTGACTAACGTGCGAAAAATCCTAGATCCGCCCCTGTGTTGGATTTCACTTTTTTTATATTTGAATATTACATATAGTTCGAAACATGTTAAAGCACTGATCAGTGTTTTTCGTGCTGGTCTTTAGTTTAGGGTGTTGAATGGTGAAACAGTATTATAATTTATGTGGCGTTCAACACTGTATGAACTATATAGTACAAAACATAATCCGAAGATAAGCATCTTGAAACCCAAAGTATGAGTCAAACAAGAAAGTGAGTGAGTAATATTTCGATTTTATTACAAAATCATCATCAGACTAACTACAGTTACAATATATACATGGTCTTATATACAAGTTGGCAAGGCATGATGACATAACGGAAGTCTCAATCAGAACCACGACAGGTGCAGCATACCACGGCAGAACCACGAGAGGTGCATTTCGCGACTCGTTGAGCATACCAGTCCGACCAAAAGTGCTATTGGACAGCATTTTCAGAACTGTGAACGTGTGCAATACATTGTAAACCTACACTTTGCTTTTGACAAACTTAATAACCCAACTGACGCTGACAATAACGTTTCCACTTTTATTTCCAACTTAATAATTGACAACTCTCGAATTCTTCACACTATTTATTCTCGCACACCTAATTTTCTCTTGTTGCTTGAAGCTCTATATATCAAGTACCATTCACCCAGTTTAAATACTGGACTCAAAGCCAACAAAGAACTTAAGCTTTTTTCTTAATCTATACACCCACATTTCATCACATTTACATCTGCTGGTATTGATTTTTATGAACTATATAAGCTTCGCGTAAAAATGTTTAAGAAGTTATATCTGGAGGAGATTAAATGATAAATG